AACTTTCTTTAAGTTTATTTCAGAACATCTTTGTTAAAGATTTATACCCTGTATTGGTTCTGGGAAGTCGGGTGGGGGGGAGGGTGGAGGGGGGGTTCAGGTGGGGAGGGCAGCGGGGGCAGGTAAACATTTGTAAAAGTTTTTCTAAAAATTTTCAATAAAAAAAAAGAAAAAAAAAACAATTATGTGAATTTAGACTTAAAATGGTATGTCAGGGAATAAAAAAAATAAAAAATTCTTTGGGAAAAAAATAAAGAAACTGGCAAATAAAGTTCTCCCAAGTGATGACGGGTAATGTCCTTGACTTAACCACAGTTCGTGGAGTCACGACGGCCCCGGAAAAAAAGTGGTTTTTTCACACATACGGCTTTTCCCATCCAACAAAATTCAGAGGCTTGGCAGGTGGACTCGTATTTATGACGGTTTGCAATATCCTGGGCTCACGCGATTCCCCTTTTTGCGACCTTCCGAAGACGAATGTCTTATGGGGAAGCCAGATTCGTTTGAACGATTGCAGTGATTCGCTTAACGACCGTGTCCAAAAGCATCGTGATCCCTTGGGATACTGGGATTGCAAATACAGGCTGGATCCCCAAGCAGCTGCATTTAGATCACCGAACCAGGGGGATGGATACACAGTCACAAACACAAGGACTAGTCACTTTTTTCGTGGCGGTTGTTAATTTTGAGCGCTTGCTAAAGGAAGATTGGAAGTCAAGGATTATTAGAACATAAGAAGGGCTGAACGAATGTAGGTCTGGATTTGAGTTCCTTCGTTGCATGCTAATAGAGGGGTTGATATGTGGGGTCCTTGGTGCTCTCTAAGCTTGGTGGTTTTCTTGCAGATGTTTCATGGCCCAACTAGGTAACATCATCAGTGCTGGAAGGGAGTGGGGTTTGCAGAGAGGAGGAGGAGGACTGTGGGCTCCTTGGTGCTCTCTGAGCTTGGTTATTTTCTTGCAGACATTTCATCAACCTACAAGGCAACATCATCAGTGCTAGAAGCGAGATGGGAGGAGGGAGAAGAAGAGGAAGAGGAGGAGGGGGGAAAATAAGAGGAGGAAGAGAAGGAGGAGGACTGTGGCGTCCTTGGTGCTCTCTGAGCTTGGTGGTTTTCTTGCAGATGTTTCATGACCCAACTTGGTAACATCATCAATGCCAGAAGGGAGTCAGCTAGGAGGAGGAAGAAGAGGAGGAGGAGGAAGAGGAGGAAGCTGATTGTGCATCCCTTGGTGCTCTCTGAACTTGCTTGTTTTCATGCAGATAATTCATGACTCAACCAAGGACCCCACAATCTTCTTCTTCCTCCTCATTCTCCTCTTCCTCCTCTCCCTTCTAGCACTGATGATGTTCTGTAGTTGGGTAATGAAACGTCTGCAAGAAAACAACCAAGCTGAGAGAGCACCAAGGACCCTGCAATCCTCTTCTCCTCCTCCTCCTCCTCCTCCTCCTCCTCCTCTCCCTCCTAGCACTGATGATGCAGGTTTCTGCCCTGGGCTCCAAAATATTTTATTCCTCTGCAGATAGAAAATTAATATTTCCAACGTTCTATGAATGCTTTTATAAGCAAGGTCAATCTCGTTGTGTAGCACAACTATGGGGTATCCCAATTCCTAGCTCGAATTTGGCTCAATCCGGACACCCTCATTCATCCCCTGGGACGAAAACAAGCCTCAGCCTAAATTGGATTGTTTTCAGCATTTCCCCATGCCCCAAATTTCCAAAATTAAAGACTTTTGATATGTGGAAAAATCGAACCAACCACCCCATTTTTAGGAGTGAACAAAAGAGAAACTAGAAATTTTACTTATGTGATGAGAACACAAATTTCTCAATACAAAATGGGTCTCTAGCTCCCTCTGCTGGTGAATATATGTATATATGTATGTATGTATGTATGTATGTATGTATGTATGTACTGTATGTATGTATGTATGTATATACATACACATACATACACAAACACACACATACATATAATTTGGGGAGGGTGCTTCGGTGCCTCTTTGCACCTCTATCTATCTTAAATACAGCTTTTATCCCCATGTCCATCTTTTAAAACACACCCAGGCCAGCTTAATTCACCACCCCAAAAACGGGAGGCTACCCAATGTATCATCAAGCCAAGATTTTGGACCATAGATGAGACGTACATTGCTTTATTAGATGGTTTGAACATTTTTTTTTAAAAAAAAATGACCTTTATGGGCAAAAATTTAAAACCATGGCCAAAAAAAGAGAGAAATTATATAGAACTTTATAAAGAAATCTGAATCCTAGCCACAGCTAAGGAGAGGCTTAGAACACAACATCTTAGTCTATCTTAGCACCAACGAACAAAATCAAAACCAGAGTCGCTTCGGGCCAGTTTCTCTGGTCCCCGGTTCCTTCTCTTCCATGAAAGAGAAGATGGTTGATGGCCCACGTTGGATTATGACTCTCAACACGTGCAGAAAGCTCTAGAAACTTTCTAGAACATCTAGAAAGTCTGGGGAAGTCCAGAGAGGTAGAGGTGGAGGCCCATCAGCCTATGGGGGGTGAGAAGTCACCTTCTACCGATACATTTGAGAAGTCAACACCAACCTTCTCCACTCAAGATTACAATCAAAAGGGCTTGGGTTGGCCAATGGAGTGGGTCAACCTCCCCCCCATTTCATAGCAATCTGATTGGCTAAGAAAAGCCAGGGGGAAGCAGAAACACTAGGATGGCGACACAACGACAATCCTTCTCTTCCGAGCGGGAGGCGTGTGAGGCGATAAGGCATCTAAACTCAACCTTCTCGCTGGTCTCCAAGGGGAGACATCACAAGAGGTCTCCAAGGGGTGGAAAGGAAAAGGACAGCCCGCGTGTCACCCAACACCCTGATGGGACTTTCTCTACTTCCATCCCACGCTCCGTACAAAAAAGACACACTTTGTGAGTTCTTCATTTCCCAGGCGGTTATGATTTTCGTACCAGGTGAAGACGGTAGCTTAAACGATCGTTTTGTCATTCAAGAAAGCTTAAGAAGAAAAAGGCACTTTGAAGGCATCAAGGCTTCCAAAAAGCAGGGAGCTTTTTCGACCCACGTTTCCCCCCCCAATCTTAACCTGTCCCCCTCACCCCCCAAAAAAATATTGGACAGCTAATGTTTCAGATTCATGTCGGTCGTAATACTGCTCACCGGACCCCATGGGACCAGAAGGAAGGAAGGGAAGTCGCAGGAGCACCGAAAATAAGCTTATTTCTCTCCTTTTAGCAGCCACAGAACTAAGGACATCGAGGACATCCCAAGTTCTCTCTCTTCTCTCCTCCTTTTGGTCACTCTTCCAGGAATGTTTAAATTCAAAAACAAAATTAAAACCCAGTGTTTCCTACTCTTAACATCGTGCACTGAAAAAAAAAAGGGGGACCCAGGGCGGTTTGGTCCTCCAGATACATTGGGGTGTATCATCTCTTGAGGGCCCTCAAGCAATCATCTGGAGAACATTGCTTCTGGAGGACATCGTCTTTTCCTTGTGGGGCATGGTGTGCAAATTCTAATCCCGCCCCCAAGGATGCTTTTAGAAATCTCAGAATATGTGCAAAATTAGAGGATGAGAAGATACCTCTCCCTCTCGACCAAGGAGCAGGTCCATCGTGTATGGGAATTAGTCTGAGGGTCTCTAGAGAAAAGCAGATAATCAAGGACCACCAAGACAGCTAAGGGAACCAGAAGAAGGAAGTTAACACTGAAATCTAGAGAATCCCATCCCTGTTGGGTCAATCAAACAATAAGGCACCTGTTTCTCCCCTGGGAGAAATGGAAGGTATCCTCAGGTGAGAACCTTAGGAGTGTCCTCCATGCTAATACGAGTCCCCAGAAAGATAATTTGGCTTGCAGAGAAGCTGGGCTGCCATGCTCGCTCTCTCTCTCCCTCCCTCTCTCTCTCCAGGAACATCCATGGGGAGTAAGCGCTGGACCAGATCCATCAGTTTGGCTTCTGAAACTCACGCCGGAGACCAAGGGAGCCCAGGGGGTTATCTCCCAGCCTCCTGGCGTTTCTGGAGCACTTCAATGACCTCGTCAATGCCATCTTCTGGAACCTGGAGGGAACAGAACGGGGGAAGAAAAAGGCTGGTTGCATTGACACCTTTCAGGAAATACCAACTATAAGGGGGAAGGCCCAAGTTATTTTGGAGCGATCGTCTTCAGATATGTAACCAGTTTAATTATTACTGTTAAGAATAAGATTTTTGTCTTATTAAATTGGCTGCTATATTATTCTGACTGGGGGAAGGGAAAGGAAGGGAAGGACGGGAAGAGGAAACGAAAAGAAAGGAAAGGAAGAAAGAGAAGGAAAGGAAGGAAGAGAAGGAAAAGAAAAGAAGGGAAAGGAAAGGAAGGAAAAGAAAAGGAAAAGAAAGGAAAGGAAGGGGAGAGAAGAGAAGGAAAGAGAAGGAAAAGAAAGGAAAGGAAAGGAAGGAAAAGGAAAGGAAAGGAAAAGAAAGGAAGGGAAAGGAAAGGAAAGAAAATAAAAGGAAAGGAAAGGAAAGGAAAAGAAAGGAAGAGAAGAGGAAAGAGAAGGAAAAGAAAGGAAGATAAAGGAAAGGAAAGGAAGGAAGGAAAAGAAAAGGAAAGGAAAAGAAAGGAAGAGAAGAGGAGGAAAGAGAAGAAAAAGAAAGGAAAAGAAAGGAAAGGAAGGGAAAGAAAAGAAAAAGAAAGGAAAGGGAAGGAAGGGAAGAGAAGAGAAGGAAAGAGAAGGAAAAGAAAGGAAGAGAAAGGAAGGGAAGAGAAGAGAAGGAAAGGGCATTTTAATTTACACTCAGAGTCACATCTTACACCTCGAAACAACTCAAAACGATCAAAGTTTGGTCTAATGGTTAAGACACTGGGCTAGAAACCAGGAGACGGAGAGTTCTAGTCCCAACGCCTTAGCCATGAAAGCCAATTGAGTGAGCCAGTCCCTCAACCCACTTCCTGGGGTAATTGTGGTGGGGAGAATAGGAGGAGGAAGGCGGAGTAATCGGTACGTTCACCACCTCGAGGTGTTTATAAACAACAATAAAGGTGAAATAATGTCAATAAAAAAATCAGGAACCCTCAAAACAACGAATGCTTCAACCTCAGGATGTCCTCAAGCCCTCCGTGGCTTACCAGGGCGTGGTCGAAGTTGAAGGTGCTGATGTAATAGGCAGAGATGTCTGCGCTGGCCAGCGGTTCAGCAATCTGGGCCACGATCCCACATTCATCTGGAGAAGAGAGGAGGAGAGAGGGAGAGGCATCAGCTTAACGCTGGGCCAACCTTCTCAGGGGTTGTGGCCCACTGGCAGCCAACAGCTGTTCCCTTCAGCTGGCCACTCTGCACATGCACACACTGGGAACAGGCTCCAGCTGTTCCTCCGCCTCACTCATGTCTGACTCTGAAGGCAGCTGAAGGCCCCTCTCTGCCTCCGATGCAGATCCCTCATCCGAGCCTTCCCCAGGCTCCAGGACTGGCCCAGGTTCCTCCCCAACCCTCCTCACTGTCCGAATCCTCTGCCAGCTCCGCTGGTGGGCCACAACACCAAGAGACTTTATTATCTACACAACACCATCATCACTGATGGGAAAGAAAATATAACGCAACTCACCGAAGCCCAGCGGCTGTCCACCAATTCTTACCATCCTCCAGAGTTCTCCTGAGGAACTGGTCAACAACAGGTCACTGGGGAACCTGGGAAAAGGAGAGGAAAAGCTTGATGTCTTTGTGAAGTTTCCAAAAAGATGACCTAATTAATTCACGAGCCTCGAGACAAAGTTCAAAAGAAATCCAGTCATTTATTAGGATCAACTTTTTGGCATGTTCTTCTGCGGAGCCAAAACTGATTTCTGCTTAATGGTCTTTGCACTTTACTCCTAACTCTCCCCTCCCTCGGTCTGTGTCATAAATCATATCCACCAACGAGGTTGTAGAAATATGAGAGCCGACTCTGGCCGAAGGTATGCATGCAATCCTCTCTCCCGTCCATGTCAACTTGATAACAGTCATGGTAAATGTTTTACAAGTTGACATCCTTCTCCACAACGTTATCCATTGGAGGGTCAGGCATCATCCTTGACAAGGATGACTGGAAATCCTTACTTATTGTAACGGGCGTTTAAAAACAGAATTTTGAAAGTCCGGCAGAATTCTTCTTTCCCCGCTCTTACACGGAAGAGAATCAAGTTGGGGCGATCTTGAGTTTCTTTCTCACCCTTTCCTACTTCCCATAGCTAAGCTGAGAAAACTTCACTATTGGAAGAATAACACGGAATAACAGAGTTGGAAGGGAACTTGGGGGCCTTCTAGTTCAATCCCTCCCCAAGCTGGAGACCCTCTAACTTCCTGGAGAAATGGCTGTCCAGTCTCTTCTTGAAAACCTCCAGTGATGAAGCGCCCACAACTTCTGGAGGCAAGTCGTTCCACTGATTGATTCTTCTCACTCTAAGGACTTCCTCCTTAGTTCTAGATTGCTTCTCTCCTTGATGAGTTTCCATCCTTTGTTTCTCCTTCTGCCTTCTGGGGCTTTGGAGAATAGGTTGACCCACCCCCACTTTTCCTTGTGGCACCCCTCAAATACGGCAACCCTGCTCTCATTCCACCCTTAGTCCTGCATTCCTCTTTCGAGATCATTTCCATCAGTGGTGGGTTTCAATTTTTTTTAAAACTTCTTCAATAGGTGTGGCCTGCTTTGTAGGAGTGGCTTGCCGGATACGTGACCAGGTGGGAGTGGCTTTCCAGCCATGTGAGTGGATGGGCGTGGCCAACTTGTAAAATGTGGTGAAACTCACTTAACAACGCTCTTGCATAGCAACCAAAATGTTGGCTCAGAAACTCTGGCATTTGAAGCACGCAAGTCTTAAAGCTGTCAAGTTACAAGACCCTTGCACCCCTAACCCTTTAGAAAGAAAACCCCCAGGGGAGTTCACACTTGACGGCTTTAAGACTTGTGGACTTCAACTCCCAGAATTCCCCAGCCGGCCACAGCAACAGGAAGTCTAAAGCAGGGGTCTCC